CATTGATTACTGGGTACAGTGCTTAACATAAAAAAATGTTATATAAGATTGTAAAAAAACAGTCTAAATAATTTTAATAAGTATACAAGGTAAGTAAAGGTTCCTTCATATCTTATATAACGTAAGTACGAAGCGATCTGTGTCGAGGAGGCACCTTACATGCATGTTTCTTTAAAATATATAAAGAAGCTATAAATTGAACCTAAAGTGTTATGCTTTGCATGTAAGTAAAAAGAAATATCGTAGTCCAAACCTGGCCTTTCCCCCAGCACAGAATGGACTATCGGTTACAACTGCTTGTTAACCAAGTGAGTAAAGGAAGAGTTGCCTAGAAACTATTATGCTCTTGACGATACGATTTGGTTATGCAATTGCAAAGCACTGAGACAGAAGCAAGTGGATTGACAAAGCCAGGCTATCTGAGAGGACGTCCATACAGCCATGTGGCATCTACAGTTCTCAGCATACCTTATATACTAGTAGTTCATTTGAGTGAAACTAACTTGAACATTTGAATGAAATTTCGTGTATTGGTTTACCCAGACTCTTTCCTCATAATCGGTACAAAACAGACACATTTACGAATGTATTTTCAAAGCAAAAGATGGAAATTGTTGATTATATTCCTCCTGCTTCAATGGCACAAACGTTATTGCCCACAGCCTATTGATATGAAATGTTTAATGAACTAAATATAGTTTAATGAAGAGAGTCTAAAAATATTTCAAGTATTCTTGAAATCTGACCATGCAATAATGCAAAAATCGCCAGAAACACACGTACAATGTAACATTATTTATTGGTACTCGTTAACGAATCTAACAGTCGCCGTCTTGTAAAATAAATCCGATAAAGACCCTTTCCATATTCACATATACCTTGGAACAACCTACCATAAAACCAACAAGTATTACATCCGTCGATTTAATCATTGCAACACTTCATGCATCATAAGTCCGCCATAACATTTTACATATTTCGAATGGTTAAGCTGATTCGTTTTGAATGAAACCACACATGCTTTTCTAAATAACTGGGATGCTTTTCTATGCAGCCGATGTAGCACGTAAATTATATCCTCAAAGTTTTTTTGTTTTTTAAATATGTAAGAGTAAACGTAGGTGTCTCTGGTCATTATCTTACAAGAATCCATCAACTACAAATAGAAAGGTGACTAGAACCCATTAGCTCTGAACTCTATCAACGAAAAACATGAGTCACGTTTCCCTTCGTTGAAACGTACCAGATTCTCATAGGGCAAACAGGTTCCAGCATAAAATATCTAGCTATCAGACTGGCCAGTCGCCATTTTGAAAAATCTAACACAAGACGATTGGTCAGCCTGTATGGATATCATGATGTCATATTTTTTGAAGTGACATCACGTGCTTATAACAATTGACCCTGATTACCCTGCTAAAAGTCTGATGGCTAGATCTAAATCTCACAAAAAACAATATTTTAACTTGTGAATTCGTTACATTTGTCACGAGGGAAGCTTCCGAGATTTTACAAGCTGAATGTGTTTGTACACCCTGAGACTGCATAATAATACCATGCATGGACTTTCTTAGTCTGTATCAAAATCTTATAGTTTGAACTTCTTAAAAAGATATTGGAGTAACATATTGTGGTATATCTTAGTTCAGCTGCATTATCCGAAAAGTACTTAGTTGAAAACCCAAGGTCTATTTGATTGATAATGACTGACGACAGACAAGCTTAAAATAGCACAAATGTTGTTTTAATGCCGTGTGTGATCCCTTTGTCGATATCATTAGATTGATTACATCCATTAATTAAGCCTTCCGACTTTCCTTCACGATAATTCAAGATAATGTATTATTATCTGTCACATTTTTTAGCGGTCTGTGAAGACCCATATTTCGCCTTGATGAAAATGAGGAAAAGGGAAGGAGTTAGTGAAGTTTGAGGTTTTCTTTCAACCTAGCATCTAAATATAACTGATCTGTACCTATCGTATACCAATCCTTATAGAACTGAATATAACTCAGACACTGTTTTATCCCATGCATTTCGCCATCATGACACGTTAAACTGTCTGTTGGCAATGATTGTACATGCATGTGAATCTGTACAATTCAAAGCCGAACATGTTAGAACAAGCCACTTTTCATGTCGAATCATTATGTTTGTGTTTATACCAAATGGTATGCATCGGTATTACACATTTAACATTGCTCAAGCGGCGTCAGCTTTAATTTTCATCGCTTAGGTCCGCATGGTAACCAATTTGCAAAAATTAACTGGCGTTTACGACATAATGGGGTAGATAGCGTACACTGTATGTCCATATTTATAAATTTGTTTTTCCTAGCGATAACGATGATAATATACATTCCAGGTGATAGGAGCCAGCCAGTGGGTTCTCTTTCGGGGGCATGAAGGTGTAAATTCCTACCGTCGGGAAGACTTCGTGAGAAACTTTGTAAGAATATGTTTAATTCAAATGAATACAGCCTGTCTCAGTCAAACCAAAGTGGTCTCAGTCGGTTCTACATACAAAGCATGATTCAATTTAAAGACACAGGTAGAGAAACGAACACATCGCTTTACTGCCTTCAGGGTCACTACGCCTGAAATATTCTTACCCTTATCCAAATGAAGCACAATCGAAAGCAGCACAAAAGAGATGAAGCACATTCATTGAATACGGAGGATAACTTGCGTGCTTGAAACTCTTACACGTTTAAGCGGCATAACGGAATGTCCGTTACCAGCATGGAAATTAATTATACATAGATTATAAGAGGCATATGCCTTGAAACGTTAATAGACTTACCATAAAACCAAGGAGTACGTATATCCGTCGATTAAAGCCTTTCAGCCCTTAGGTCCGCCATAACGTTTGATATCATCGAATGGTTAAGCTGATTCATTTTGAATGAAACTATGCGTGTTATTCTGAATAAACGGAATGCTTTGATATCCAACAGATGTAGCACGGATATTATATTTTCAAAAAGGTGTAAACGTAGGTGTCCAAGACCATGTCTTGCAAGAATCCATCAACAACTACAAATAGTTGGGTGACTAGAACCCATTAGATCTGAACTCCATCAAAGAAATAAATGAGTCGCCCTTCCCTTCGTGTAAGCGTTCCTGGTATTCGCGGGGCACAGGACTTCCAGCTTTTACACCAATCAGCGCTGTGCTGTCTCCATTATATCGTTATGTACAGATCTGTACCGCTACAGGGAGAACTAGAACAAAGAGTCCTCAGGATGGGGACAAAATGTCGAACTGTTCTTTGATTAATCTTTCGTGAACACTTGGGGCATCGTTGAGACAATGTGCTGAACAAGTGTTGAGATTTATAAGATTACAGATATGTCGGCGAATTATCCCGAGAAACATTCTGCAGATTCAGCACGGTTTTTGCCATAGTCGAATGTTTATTTCTTACACAATATACACACATAGATGATCATCTGAGGAAAGTGGAAAGAAATTACCATGTCTATTTTGCATTTCTGTGTGGCCTAATACACTTGTACCCCGGAGAGCAGAAGATCGGGAGTTCGATCCCCGGCCGCGTCGACATAACAAAAGACGTTTGTTACCTGGCCGGGGGATAAAACAAGGACTGGTCGGCTTGGAGTCAGTATACTGGGTCTATAGTTTAGGTTAGTCCAGGCAGCTACACACACGCACAAACGCACGCACGCACGCACGCACGCACGTACGCACGCACGTATTAAGATTTTACAAATAACAGAAAATGTTCTCAAAACATTATTTAGGAAAGTGTAACTATATTTTAACGATGTATGTATGTATGTATGTGTGTGTGTGTGTGTGTGTGTGTGTGTGTGTGTGTGTGTGTGTGTGTGTGTGTGTGTGTTACCGTCACACTATTCGTGTGAGAGCATATAAATGTGATGCCATGGTAGCCTTGTATGTTTAACTGCCACTCTATCCGTGTGAGAGCGCCTAAATAATTATGGCACCCCTGCATATATAACCGTCACACTATCCTGGTTGCAGCTCTTAATATGTTGCTATTGTATGGTAGCCCTGGATATAACCGTCACACTATCCGTGTTCGAGCACATAAATGTGTTGCCCCGTACATCTGTATATTTAACCACCACACTATTCGAGTTAGATCTCGCTAACAAAAGTTGCCCGATACGTCTGTTTGTATACGACCAACGCACTATCCGTGTGGCGCATCTGAATGCGTTCAGTCAGATTTTCGCGTGGATACGCTGTAAGTTTACCATCGTAAAAGCCGTCGATTTAGTTGTCATGAGAGCCTTTTTGGGTGAAAAGTTTTAAATCTACAGAGCCTTTACAAGGCCATGGGTCTCGTATTAAATGCACATGTAGATCCTAAAGATTGAACCGACAAATAATTAAGTGAAAGGTAACCTGAAAAAAATAAACAAGTGCCTTGAGTTTCAAACGTGAGGAATCCTCTTGTGGCCCTAATAAAACACGACACGCAGAGAGATCAAGTCCATGTGTCGTTAGCCCGGAGGGTTAGTTAAAGTGTCAGTGAAATATATTTTAAGCAAGTATATGTTTACAGTCGTGATAAGAATTTCAGGGATAAATGCCACACCCAATTTTATCCAATTGCATACATATAAATGAGGAATGACGCGTGCGCATGTTGCAAATCAGACTCGTACAATGGGCCCTGCTATAGCAGAGATTTCATAAAATAAAAGAAATGGTTTTGTCGCTATTATTTACAGTTTAGACATATGATGATCTGTAGAAGGTAATCTATAATTATGAAAATAACGACACAAGTATCAATCATATGTGAATAATATAATATCAGTTATATCTTCGCTGCATAGACAAGCTTCTTGCAATAGTTTAAATATCGCGTTTTTTCTTTGCAAATAGATATCACGGAAACACTGAAGTACACACTAAACAGTAAAACACGTGCTATATATTTGACTTGTTTGTCTTTATAATCAATCCACATTATCAATCAACTGGAAAACAGGTGTTAAATTTACCTTCTGGTTCGGCGAGTTCCCGGTCTCTGAAATCACTTTACACAGAAGCGAACCTCAGGTTTATGTATCCGAATAAACTAAATACTCCTCCTGGTGTAGACGAATCCACTCGGGTAACTACGACGCTTCGCGAATATAGCTTCCGAATAATCCCAATTTTCTATTCTCCAGTTAATATTGATCGTCACCACAGTTACTTCAGTAGCCGTTAAAGGTAATCCTGAACATTTGTGGAACGTTCCAAAGCATAAAGTTGCTGCAACTCGCACAAGTTGCAAGAAAGTTGTGTAGCGTTGGAGCCCCTGGAGCAGCGCTCGCGTTAGTCCGTGTGCTCGCTCTCACTCAGTCATACTACTGTGGCAGCTTGGTTACTTCACGGACCGATGGCATTGTCGATTCAACCCGAGTAGCATTGGCTCAGTCAATGAGGCTAGAAGGCTACCTGATCACTCGCAGTGTTCAATAAGCGCTGGCACATCGCATCTTCTACTTGTTTGCACAGCGGTGGATAGCTGCGGCGTGGGACGAAGATATAGCCCAGAAGATACACACGAGGGATCACCTACACCGGATTAAATCATTATTGACTTTGGACCGCCTGGCATAATTTGAGATTGTTGTACTAGTTGTAAGGATATATTAACGGAAAGCTTAAATATTTAATTCCGTTTGTTAATTAACATATGGAAAAGCACGTAGCTTTATCATTACCACTTCATCAACCGAACCTTTAGTTCAACATCACAGTTTATCCACATCTCATTTGTCTCAAACACATCGCCACCACATCGCCACCACCACCACATCGTCTCAACTACATCACAACACCAATCGTTTCAACTACATGACAACCACACCATCGCTTCATTCACATGACAACCAAAACATCACTTTAACTACGTGACAACCACACCATCGCGTCAACCACACCATCGCCTCAATCAGACACAACCACATCATCACCTCAGCTACATGACTACGACAACATCGCGCCAACCACATGACAACCACACAATCGCCTCAATCAGACACAACCACATCATCACCTCAGCTACATGACTACTACACCATCGCGTCAACCACAAGACAACCACTGACGCCATCGCGTCAACCACATGCCAACCACTGACACCATCGCGTCAACCAACCATGTGACAGCCACGCCATCACTTCAACCACTCAATCGCCTCGAGCACATGACAACCAACACATTCCAGCCATGCCATACAACGACGAGCGTACAACACAGGCTGCAGTCCGCCTCACAGCGTCAATGCACCAGTGCCTACACAGCCACATCATACATCCCACCGCTCCATTACGCCCAGTGCACTAAAACTGCCTTACAGTACTCAAAAGGCTGCAACAAAACGCATCTATATTGTACAAACATACAAACAACAAACACCACACAGCCGCACACCCACTCTTGTAGCTTTTTTTGTATGCACATGACTAAGTATAACATGAACAAGTAAACCAGACGCTCGCGCACACTAAAAGCCAAATACCAGTCTCAGCTATTTACTCTACCTCGGTGAATCTATACCTTCGCACTATGGCATGTTACGCCCTTCAACGTTAGATAACGTGGGTCAGCTTGGGGTGACGGACTCGACACCGAGGGCAAACCTCTTCCTTTTCCGTTGGTGATGTAGCCCTTCGCCAGAACAGTTTAACGGCCTCGAGGCATTTCCAACCTGGTTTAAAAAACCCACGATAACACAACTTTGCATTAGTTTACTTGGCGGTTTCATGGCTTAAATCGAGTTTGGAAAAGATACATAACAATATCTGAAAAATATGGGCATGTGAAGAACATTTCAGTGTTTTCATCATCGGGCAAGAAAGTGTTGGTCTTTCTTTTAAGACCTTTTTCACCATAAACTGAAATGTCCTCAGGGACCGACTGGCATTGTTCGGGGATAAGAAGTTGATCGGCTTACACAGAAGAAAGCGTGTTTTGAAGAGTGACCGAAAAAATATCACGTCTTTAACACCCCAACCCCCACCCCTGCTTTCACTGTTGATTTTCATTAATTTGCGATTGATTGTTTTCTAACGTTGTCAGTGTGTACAGTTATTTGTCAAATCACAGTAGCTGAATGTAAAATGGTAATGAAAATTGTCACAGAGGTGTCAGTAACGTTGGGTCATATTGATTTCTCATTAGAAAATCGTCTAATCAATGTTTTTTTCTGTATCGTGTCACGTGCGAGAATCCATAATCACGTTGACATCGATCCAAGTAGTTATCGATCTTCAAATTAACGTAAACGCCAGAGAAAATCAGTCTCGATCAGCACCCGAAACATATTCCATTGGGCGTTAAATGCAAAATAGTGGTGAAAAATATATGAATGGGTCACTGAAAATAAGTGATGACACCAGGCTTTCGCGTAAATAGTAAGCATGTCCTGCCCTGCCGGGAAAATCCAACACTCACACAACTTGCATAAAAAAGTATTTTTTTGTCTTGGCCTCACAGTAGTCTTGCTATGCAGAAACAAATGCATGCACACTGACGAACACGCATGCACTCATGCAATCGTGCACATACACTCCCCCGAGGAGGTGACTAAGCTTGTACATGACACTTGACAGACACATTGAGTACTGAGCTTGATAAACGTGGTTGTACATTTACATATGACCCGTGAAGATCCGAGGTAGAATACGTCTTCAGCAAGCCCGTAAAAGGCGGTTATGCCTGTCGTAAGAGGCGACTAGCGGGATCAGGTGGTCAAGCTCGCTAACTTGCTTGATGCATGTCATCGTGTTCCAATTGTGTGGATAGATGCTCATGATGTCAATCACTGGATTGTCTAATCCAGACTCGATTTAGAGACCGCCGTCATACAGCTGAAATACTGCTGAGTGCGGCGTTAGACAACAAAGAAAGAAACAAACAACATGTACATACATGTATGTTGCATCAGTGCACGGGGCTTCGTACAACTTTAAACTGTAGTTTAGCAGTATCAGCTGCATGTAGGAGGAAAGCCCAAAGTGATACATGTGAAATACCAAATCTGAAATCTGCGAGCGCGACCCATGATACAGATTTCTGGCATGACCAAGGGACGCGCAATTGCAAGTCTTAGGCGAAAGGGCGACCTGTTCCGCCGATATCAGCATCTGGTAATCAAGCCTATTTTTCACCAGCTTGTAAATAAATATTCGAATCCTGGATCAGACAAACCACAAGTTGAAGCTGACATCTACTCTATCTACTTTCTTACACTAAACGCATCCCATCCTTCATCCCTCACACTGTTCTTTATCCCCGAAGGCCTCACTCGCTCTACCCCTGGAATCAGACACCGACTCTTCCCTTTCTCCCTTCGGGGTTCATCCTGAACCCAAACTGCTTAGCCCTCGGCCTTAATATATAGCGATGCACTGACAGCCTAGTAGATTTATAGTGCGTATCTAATATCATAATGGTTCAAAGACATACTGGTTCGAATCCCAGATTGACTCTGTTCATGATCTTTGGTCTGACAGAACCAGTAATGTTTTGCGTTGGTAAATAAAAGTGGTAAACGCCCAACATCATGATCATCTTCACATTAAGAGGAAGCGACAAGTTAAAGAGTGTTCAAAGCACTAACTTAACTTACTCCCCCGAAGTGTACCGGGACGGTGTGGTTTAGGCGTTCGCTCGCAACGAAGACCCGGGTTAGATTTTCCACATGGGTGCAATGTGTGAAGTCCTTTTCACCTTGATATTGCTGGAGTATTGATAAAAGCGGCGGAAAACGATACTCACTCAAGTTTACCACTAATTCGTGTCTGATGCCTACTGCCGACAGCCGACGAAACATCGTTCAATCGCGTATTCAAACACCCACCACAAGTTCCAAAGGTTGACTTGTTTATCCCGTGCGTGCCATTTGCAGCGACTAGATTGGGAATCGGATTCCCAGTACCGTTTAGTGTAGATCGCGCTCGGGATGAGTATCACAACCGCAAACCACCGCGCCTGTCACCTGTCTGCTTCAGCGACCACTTGCACTTCGGTGGCTGTGTAGTCTATGATTTCACAATGAGCCATGTCATAGAGCGATATCTTAAAGAAAAGTGTCGTGGATGAGTATCACAACCGCAAACCATGCCGCCACAGTCACCTGTCTGCTTCAGCGACCACTTGCACTTCGGTGGCTGTGTAGTCTATGATTTCACAATGAGCCATGTCATAGAGCGATATCTTAAAGAAAAGTGTCGTGGATGAGTATCACAACCGCAAACCATGGCGCCACAGTCACCTGTCTGCTTAAGCGACCACTTGCACTTCGGTGGCTGTGTAGTCTATGATTTCACAATGAGCCATGTCATAGAGCGATATCTTAAAGAAAAGTGTCGTCTCGGGGCCGTTGACCTGCCTTGTGGTTAAAGCGTTAGCTAGTTATGCCGAAGGGACTGGTTCGACTCCTTCATGGATACAATGCATGGAGCCAATTCATGCTGTACACCGCCGTGAAATGGTTGGAACATTTTTGAAGGCAACGTGAATCTACTCACCGCCATCTACAGCCATTCATTCATACAACGCTTAATGCTATCTTAATCCTATCCAATCGGCTTCATTATATCATCTTTGTACGTTATGTTGTTATCTGTGTACATTCATCCCACCCTGTGTTGTGTAAACATCATGATATATACATATATATCCCGTTGTGCGACGCCTAGGACAACAATGTAAGTTAAAGTTTTCATTACAACTAAAGAGCCGTTCAACAGCGAAAGATCTTGTGTGGATAAAGGAGTTTTGACAAGCAAGGATTTCTGGACTCTGTTTTTTTATATTTAATTCTTATACACCTGATGAAATCACTTTTATATGATACTCTATGCACTTACTAAGCATTCACCTGATGAAGGAGCAAGGAATAGCGTCGTATAAAGAATAAAAGAGTTGCTAAAAAAGTGTCATGTATTCATACATGCATGTTTACAAATGTTTATTAATTTTGAACGTTGAATATGCGTCTTTTCCATGCAAATTAATACTATACGTATTGCAACATATTCAAGTCATCATTCACATTAAGTCCTGTCCTGTCGGAATAACCCTATCAAACGTTGAGCAGTTTACGTACGCGGATGGCATTCTTTGTACGACGATCAATTCAAGCTTCTGCTTTTTTCCATGATGGAATTAATTTTTCAACCCCCACGCGACTCCACAGTAGGATAACGTGTTTGGTGTGCAGGTATTCTTTTAATTAACAGCACAGGTGCCAGTTTGACTTAAATTCTGTTCTTTAACTACAAACGTGAACAATGATATATGGATGGCGACCGCCAGGGAATACTTGAAAGGCAGGTAGGTTCTCAGAGGCTTGAAAAACACTCAGTTTAAAATTTATACGTGATCATTGACATGTTGTGTTTGAAGTGGCGTGATACTTGGCATTTATTGTGACCTTTCTGATTTAAGAGAGAGAATTTATGGATGTCAACTTCTTTATTATGAGGAACACGGCATAATGAAGGAGTCACCATTTACTCCGAAACGTTGTATTCCTCATAGTAAATAAAATGCTCTTATATGTGTATC